TAGCCATCTGAATGTCGTCTTCGGTGAAGTGCCTGTTCATATCCTGTGCCCATTTTTCTATTGGATTATTTACCTTTATCTTGTTGTGGTGCACTGATAATTTTCAAAGTATACTTTTTTCCTGCTGCCCTAAGAAACTGTATTTGGCATTAACTTGGAATTATCTCTGATTTAACTCTTTAAATGGCATCTCAGATGCAACAGAGAAATGAAAACTCAAAGCTTTGCCTTCAGTACAGGTTTTCCTTTCTTGTCTCTTCTACAGGCTACAGGGTCCGAGTGTGCACCATAGCCAGCCAGAGTCAGTGGAAGCAGAGACTCCTCCAGGATCCTTTGGAAATGAAAATGATCCAGGGCAAGAATCAAAGTACAGAACCTCCACACCACAGGAGAGAAACTGTGAAAGGCATCCTTCCTCTCCTAGAGAAAGCCCACTTCCAGGTCTCCTGTCCCCTCCAGGACATAGTGGATCAACAAGCAGAAAACGCTCAGCTGAACCCCAAGATGACAGTTTCGACTGCTTTGATTCCCTGGCGACTCATCAGATTGCAGCTGAGAACACTGCTCATGTGTCTGTTAGGCCCAAAACAACTGAAGAAGTAGCTCTGAAAAAGTCCAACAGAAGACCTCACAGTAAGGACAAGAGTAGGACCAGCCAAAAGAGCAAATCAGAGGCTCTACGGCCTCCAGCACCAAGAGGGGCAGATGCGCCATTGAAGCCAGACAACACTTTTCAGGGTAAAAAGGCCAAAAAGTCAGCAGTGGTTTCTGAAGTAACAGTCCCTGCTGAAGAACCAGACTCAGTGCCGACTCACGTCCCTGAATTGCACAAGCAGCACAAGGAGAGGGCCCCGAAACTCTGCCGACAATCTGCAGGAGTGACCTCAGGCTCCCCACACCCATCTCATCCTCAGTCCCTGGAGACTCCCACAAGAAAGAGACACAAACCTCCTCAAGTGGAAGAGCCCGAATTGGAAAGTGTTGGCAACACAAGCCCCCCTGTGGCCAAACTGGCAAAATTTACTTTCAGACAGAAATCAAAATTGATCCACTCCCCTGAAGACCCCAGACATGCAGATACTAGTACAACTAAAATAATCGTTCATAGTTCTAAAATGTCCCAGCCTCGAACGGGAAAGGAAGCAGCTCTGTCTGGAAAAGAGCCAGAAAAGTTGAGCTCCGGCCCAGGAAACAGAGGCTCCAATCAGTTACAAAGTCCCACAAAGGAAGTGTCAAGACAGCCACCAAAGACAGACGGAGCAGGAGAGAAGATGGAGTGTTCCCCTGAGAGGAGAGTGCTTCGGCCTGAGCCTGAGAGTCAGGCGAGGCACTCCCACCTCACTCGTGAGAGGGAGAACAAAGAGAGCTCATGCAGTAATAAAAGCAGCAAGGTTCATGCCGGCACATTAGCCAAATTGGCAAATTTCTCCTTTACTTCCTCCTCTGAATCTAAATCAGAACCCCCTCCTCCTCCTGAAAGTAAGAATTGCATTGATAGAGACCCAGGTCCTCCTGCAGCCACAGCTGCAGTGCTTGGCAGTAAAAGGAGAACTTTTCAGTTAGAGGGATCTACCAGAAAACTCACGACTTCCAAAAACTCTCTCTTTTCTTTACCAGAACTAGATGATGAAGCATTTGATTTCGACTGGGATGAAGAGATAAGGAAATAACCATAATTATGAAGGCATCCTGATTCCATTTCACTCCTCCAACCCAATATAGCCTCTTGCAGATACCCATGTGGTATATACAGATACAATGACTCTTAGCCATATTGAATGCCATTCTCATCACCAGGAGCTCCCATCAGGTTTTCTAACATCTATTCCATTCCAGGTGTATCATGACTTAAAAACTTGTACAGTGAATTTAGGTCATTGTAAAACCAGCACCTGAGCCAAGTTAGTTGACATTGTGTTTAGTTCTATGTGTGGACTATTTATATTCTTAAAGGTATTTCTTTTTATTCTTAAAGGTATTTCATTTTGTTTGGTTTGGGAGAAAAGTGTCTTTCTCAGATTCCTTATTTTATTTACTCAGAAACAACTGCCAGGAAGGGAAGAGTCCTAAAGCTACCAAGATAAATGAACGTCTCCTATTTTTTTTCTTTTTAATTTCCTCTTGAGATGTGCTCTGGGCACTGAATACGAATTATCATGTAATGATTTGCTAAAACTGTGATTTTTAAAAAATGTTTTCACATTATTCTAATATATCGTATTCATTGTGGACAAATATCTCTGATTTTTTCTTGGATAAATATCTTTACCATACATGGTAATTTTAAAGATCTGGGTACATAGTAGATTTTTGGAATACTGAGCTTTTGACTTTTCTTCTTTTTCTTGAGCCAGCATTCTGTGCTTCACATCCCTGACACCCCAGGGCCTGCCTTCTACATGTATCAAATCCTGTGGTTAGCAGGAGGGAGAATGTACAGTAGTCTCAATCATGCATTATTCTGAGTCTATCAAGACATTTAATAGAGAAATGTGATACTTGCTAGGTTGTGATTGATTTGTCTTAAAATCAGACATTTACCAGGCATTTTAATGTGCTTGTTATAGGAATAGGAAACTCATTTTGTCTTAGGTCCTTTTTTATTCTACCAGGAATTATTAGGATTCCATAATGACTTCTTTCTCTTCTGAAATGTCTAATTGTAAGATAATAATAGATTCTTTAATTATCGGAATTTTGGGCATGAAGAATATTCATCATTATATGTATTTTGTTTGATATTGACTTAAACTCCTAAAGAAAAACCACCAAAACCATCCATAAAAATTTAGGAAATGAAATATTTTTTGAGCATTTAAGCATTAATCCTAAAAGATTAATATTAAAGAAAATAAACAGTGAGTACTAATTTAGAATGGATAAATATAAACATTTTCAAATACCTTAAATAACTAAGTTTAATATAAGGAATGATCATAAAATTTATTAGTGTATATACCCTTGAACCCATTCTAGAACATTAACAGTGTGGGCTTAAGTAATGTCATTATTACTTTATCCATTTAATAACTTAACAGAGTATTGTTATTTTTAATTTTATATTTTTTCCTAATCTTTTAACAGTAAGACTTTGACTCCTTTCTAGCATTTCAGTATTCTTCCTAAAACTAAAGGAAAAAGAAAGGGTCTTAGTAATTGACCAAGTGAGCTTGATCTGGACATTGTCAAATTGCGTAGATGAGGGTCATTCAAACTTGAGCAGCTATGATGAGTTGACTTTTTTGTGTGTGTGTGAATTTTGGTACGTACGTTTAAAAAATAATTGCCATTTTGTCTTTGAACTTGTTATTAAGTATTGCATGGCTGATAGTGTCTAGCCTACTGGTTTGTCACTAGGGCACCAGTATTCATTATTGGGAATCATAATTCTAGATGTTTCATTTCCTAATAATGAAGGTATCTTTTTTCTTTAACTAGCCTCTTCAGGACACTAAGATACTTCCTACTTTAAGATACATCACTGAGTGACTCATCTCTCTTATTTGGTCTTGTGTCTAATCACCTGTGTACCTTCTACCTAGCAGTTATTTGTATTCACTCTCCATCTTGTTATTTGTGCTCATTGACTCATTCTACTCGTTATTTTAGTGCCTTCAGCTGCCTAGTTAATTTAGCCTAGTAATAATTGTGTTTGTTTATTCTTTGATGCTTACCCAGGTAAAAATAAGAGCAGATCTAAATATTCTCCCTATATATATATATATGTATATCTCTGTCTAATTATTAGAATAAGTAAACTACTCCATGTAAATACTCCTGGGCATCTTAAAAATTAAACTTCTATCATATTTACCCTCCTTTTGTCTTTGACTGCTTTGCTGTTGCTTATATTTGAGTCACAGAATCTCACAACTTACCCAGTGAGAAGTTCCTTTTTGTTGACTCCAGTGTCTGTTTTAGCACTTCTTATATTTCCAGAAGCACCCATAGTATCTGGAAACTCATTTTGCTTTTCCCCTAGAATCAGCTGTCTTCAAGAACATTGGGAAGCCAAGTGAAAAACCAATTTAGAGATAAATCATAGTATTTATTAGGTATGAGTATAAAAGTTCTCAAACATGCATTTCTGTCAGGCTGGAACCTGAGGCTGTAAATCACATGGACGAGACTTCCCTTCTTCCTTGTAGCACCTGGTAGATCTGTCTTCCAGAGAGGTAGGGCATTGCTTGGTAGTTTAACTCCTTATGGACTACACTACCAGATTTCTCTAAACAAAATGAAAACTATTCTTAATTTTCTTAAGAAGAAGACTAAAATGAATTTAAATTCTTTTATAACTATATAAAAGAGATAAACTTTTGACTCATAACTGACCCTCCAGCATGTGTCCACGGTTGTAAATCTCAGGAAGTTAGCTCACCTTTCTCTCACTGAGCTGCTAGTAGATTTGAACTCTTTTGACTTCATTCAACCAAATTCATCCATTGTTGTTATATACTGTCAATTAGAACCAACTTATATCTTATGCTCCAGCAGGTTTTCTGAAGCAGTAAATGGCACAAGAGAAAAGTTTCCCTTCTTTGTCCCAGTGAGCAGCTGTTGGGTTTGAACCACATGCATTTGTGTTGGCAGAAGAACTCCTTACCACTAAGCCATCAACTATTACCTGAGCTTTTTACATACTTAAGCTTCTTTTGCAGGTATCCCAGAACTTTAATAGAGATCGATTTTTGACAAATTTCAATTCTCACAAACCTATACATACACACAAAATAGTATTTGATTTATGTGCCTTCTCTAAGTGCTAAACCTTCTACCTAGCCGGTCCAATTTCTGGAAGACCGATGCTAATCTGTATTTAAGAGATCATCAGAGACAACCCAGGACTGTGTTGCCCTTTGCAGATTTAACTTTTCCAAACAACCTAGTTCCAAACCTAACAAACTCAGAATGTGAGCAGCTAGGTGAGTGGGTGTTCTTTAATGTGCAGCATAATATCTGAATGTGTCTTCCATATTTTTGGTATTCATAAAGATAAAAGAAGGCTCTTGGCTCACACTGGTGCTCATGCCCATTGGGGTTTTGCTGTGTCCTATTATTCCTCTTCACTATAAGAGAGAGAGAGACAGGAAGCAGTAGCAACTATTCCTTTTTTGTAAAAAGAAAAAAAAATATGGAATGCTTTATGAATTTGTCATCCTTCTGCAGGGGCCATGCTAATCTTCTCTGCGTTGTTCCAGTTTTACTATATGAGCTTTCTTATGGCATAAGTGTACATTTTGAGCTTCCTGTAAAGCCTTCAAACTGCATCTAAATGTAGTATTTGTAAAAGGGAACTTGAAAGTAAAGTTAAGCTAGTTTTGAATAAACTTGGTGTGTCTGCAGTATAAATATCAAAGTTCAACATACAGTACAAGGAGGGAAACAGGATGTCCACATCTGACCTTTTTGTTCTCACCGAGAAGTAGAAAATAAATTACTTATGTTGGAAGCCTCTTGTGGAGCCAATGAGAGACTGATGCATGGGCTGGGTTTTTTTAAAAATTCATTTGGGCCTGAGGGCTTGCGTCTCTCAGGCCTAGTTTTTATTGTGTGGTATGGTACTATTCTGTCATGTCACTTTATTGAGGTAAATTGGGATTGCTGTGATACTGAACAGCTTTTCAATGGTGCTTCAAATGCCATAATGGTTGTACATGGTTGATAATGCTTGGTAGAGGTCACAGATTAAGACAGGCTTGGAAGCAGGAGTAACATCCACTTCCTAAATATGCCTGTGGAAACTCTATGAACTTTGAGAAAGGACAGTAGTTATAAAACATGGTTAAGGTCCTTTGTTTGTAAGGTAGCAACAACAATTTATATCTCCATGCCCTTGTCTCCAATTTAGAGTCGGGTGAGGTGGCTGGACTCTGTAGATGGTGCTTTTGATTTGGTTGAGAGTCTTTGTGAATTGTGTGGTGGTTTTTTATTTAAGCCTCGTGTTTAGAGTCAACAAAACCTCCTGTAGGGCCCTTATAAATTGGGCCCAAGGGATTATGTTTGAATCCCTGTTTTTATATTTTGGAGGAACATTCTTCTAAGTGAGACAGCACTCTGGTCAATTTGCTGTGCTGAGGTAATCTGGGTTTGCTGTGACACTGAACCTTGTGCCATTGGGATCTCAAATGCCATAATTTAACAGTTGTGCCATAGGTGTGCCAAACACCATAATGGCTACCCATCACGAGCAGTGTTTGGTGGAATTTCCAAGGTTGATTCAGGTTTGGAAGCAGGAATGGCATCCATTTCCTAAACCACATGCCTCTGGAAATCCTATGAACTAGGAGAAACTATGATAGTTATAGAAAGGCTTCAGGCCTTTTGTTCATAGGTCACTATGAGTGGTGCTCAACTCGACAGCAGTCAGCAACAACAAACAGCATGTTGTGAATGCAAATAGTTTTTAGGTCAATCTTTTTTTTTTTAGGCCAATCTTTTAAATGGTTCATTGGAACCGTAATGCTTTGGCAGAATTGAACCGTAGAAAGCTAGAATGTGTAGAATGTGAATCAAATGTTTTAATTACATGAGAACAAATTTAATTATATTTAGAGTATTCATAATAAGCCAAGTCAGTATTGAAATATGGCTTAATATTTCATACCTGGTTATTTTCTGTGCCCAATGATATAAAAATGAGAGCAGTATAGCAAACTTTGAAGTCCAA